TTTTCACATTTTTTCACTTGCGGGGGTCTCCGGGTCTCCGCGCACCCTCGAAAAAAACAAAACAAAAAACTTGCAGCTCGCCAGCTCGCCGCTCACAGCTCGCAGTCCGCACACCGTAGCACGTAGCACACAGCACACACATACACACATGAGGGGATCCAGCACACAGAAAAACATGCTCGTAGAGTACAGCGAGGAGGAGGAGGAAAAGGAGGAGGAGTAGGGGCCTGGCGGTGGAGGGGCTAGCGCGGAGGCGGGGGTGGTAGACCGTGGACACGAGCGACGGAGAATAGACGAGACAACACATATTAGACGACGCGGCAGTATTGAGACTAGACACAGAGTTATTTTCTTGCCAAGAACACAGATAAATGAACGAGCCCCGATCCATCTTGCGCACCAAGCATAGGATACACGAGAGGTATGCATATATATGTTAAAAGCGTACAGACAGTTAGGTGGCCGAAAAATATTGGGGTGGCCGACAAAAATTTTGGGGCGACCGAAAAAGGAAAAAAAAACGGCCGACCGAGGAGAAGCCTAGTCGTGGCTCCGATATGAGAGGATGGTGTGACAAAGGCGCCCCACCCTCTTATATCGGTATAAGAGGGTACACTCGTACATAGGGGCAGATCGGAAATAACAAACGCAGGCCTTTGACTACGGGACAGCATGACCTGTGTCGTTATTCCCAATCTCCGATTTTGTGAAAAGGTACCCTACAATACAGTGCCCCCATATGAGCGATGAGCGAGAGCCTTTGTCAAACCACCCTCGTTTAAATTTCAATGGAGCCACAACTGTACATCCAGCGCTCGTGGGTCGAGAAGCTGTCGTCCTGCAACGCGGGAGATCACTGCGAGAAAGACAATCCATTCTGCACGAAATCATGGACGTACGTTCTGAAATTGACTAATCTTGCTCGCGTCCGTGCCTTTTGCCCCCCCGAACAGTACCAACAGCGCTTTGGCGGACAAAAAAAAAAAATCTTCTGTGGCGGAGAGTAAAGCCAGTGCCTTGGAGTACAAGAAAAGCCTCAAAAGGTACCGTAAGGTTGAGAGTCAGCGAACAGGTGTGAGCTATTTTTATAGCGTAAGTTCTCCACAGCCAGAAGGGTGCGACCGCCAATTGATACTTCTCAGGAAAGGTCTCGATGAGATATTTCCGAATCCGCCATTTTGGACAGCAGTGGTAACCTGTTGGTTGTGAAGAAATAACGCTTAGAAAATCGATCGCACCCCTGTCCCTGTCCCTGTGCACTAGCTGACTCGCAACCGGTCTGCTTGTAGACTAGACTGTCCGTACTGATCCAACACTCGACGCGGTCGATTCCCGTGGTCGCAAGCTAACTTACCCTAAAAAGGTACAAGCAAATACACTGGTCCCGAGGGGTCCACAAGTCAATAGAAATCAACGACACATATTCTAGAGTCCTCCACTCCCTCTGCGCGCTATGCGAGGTAACAACTGAGGCTAGGAGTCACCATCACAGGCAGGAGAGAAGGAGGTACAACCCCTTGGTTCAATCTTGGTACTTCAACGCAAGCAAAGACAAGGCCATCTGGCACAGAAAAAGATAGAAAAAGAGAAGAAGAGAAAAAGAGCATAAAATAAAAGGAAATAGTAAGGAAAGAGAAAACAAAATGAAAACAGCGAGGACAAAAAGGGACCAGGCCGAAAATAACAAGAAGCAAGAGACAGGAAAAGGCACACGGTGGAGAGACCACTAACGAACAAGCAAACGCGCAAACATGGCCACCAACCAGCGATACATTGTAATGGTACGTCATCATTAGTGGGGGGTTGGTGCAATGGTGCAGCGTTGGGCGGGGGGAATTGGCCAATAGAAATTCAATCCGGCACGTATCGCGCCACTCGGTCCGTCTGTTCTCGTTTGCTTTCTTCCCTCGCCATCTCGTCCGTCTCCTGCCAGCCTTCCGCCCCATTGGTTGTTGGCTTGTGGTTTCGTTTGAGCGCCCGTTGTCGGCTGGCCTCTTCTTACTTCTCGTGCCAGGAGGTCATGAACCTCTCAGCTCCCTGCAACACCGCCGCATGCCAGGGTACTCCCCCCTCCACCTTCGCGGCTTACGTCCACTTTAACTTCGGTGCCGTGTCTTTCGGTACTGGGATTCCGAGACCACATGGATCGGTGTTCGTAGATCCGTGGTCGGCCCCGAATGCCTTCAGGTCGTCGAGCACACACTTCGGCCAGTTCTGTTCCTGTCCCCCCCTACGTCGCTTCTCC